GAGCCTTCCAAAGCTTCATACACACTTAAATCAGAGAAAGTATCATTTCCCATTTTCCAGGAAAAATAAGAGGTTTCAGAAAGCAAAGCATAACCGTACCTGGATGTAGACCAAGTTCTTCCTAATTGGCCAAGCAGAGGCTAGTAATTCAACCTTGAACTCTACCCACCTAAGTGTCCCACACTGATATGTCTTTGAATTCTTCATCCACTAGGTCAACTATTAAAAATCAGTAATTACTTGAACTGCTAGCTTTTGAAAGTTGCTTTCTAGCTTTTCTTGAATTCAGTCAAAGAACTTAAAAACACTTCCAGTTCTGCCTTGGGCATGCCAATTTACTCTTCTGAAACTGGTTTTGCTTTCCCCAAATGAAAAATTTAGGGTAGTTGATCGTTAAGGTTCCTTCTCCCAATGCTAGTTATCTAAGTCAAGTGCACATTAAAAAATCGTATGTGTGTATGTGTGTGTGTGTGTGCGCGTGCGCACGCGCACGCGCTGTGTTTACACACTCATCTGTTTGAGAGCAGGCACAGGCCATGTCATGTGTGTATAGTCAGAGGACAAACTCAGGTTCCCACTTTCCTAATTGTCTGATTCAGGGTCTCTTTGTTGCTTTTGTCAGGTAGCTGGCCTTTGAGCTCCTAGGGATTCTCCTGTCTCTGCCTGCCATTGTACTGTAGAAGCACGGGGAGTATGAACATGCTTTACTGAGTCTGGCTTTATGTCTGGTCCTGTGCTTGGCTTTCCCCAGGTCCTCACATTTGCAAGGCAAGCTCTTTAACCACTAAGATAGCTCCCCAACCTGTCAAGTGCACGTCTGACCCAAGTACATGATGGGACATCTTCAAGGATAAAAATAAAATTCAGGTTTCCTTAAATAAGTGACTGTGTTCAAGCAATTTCACGGTTTAAAAAGTAACACACACACACACACACACACACACACACACACACGTAAATGGATACTCATACTGGTCAAATTTTATTATCATTTTCAAATAGACAATCAGATGACAATTCTATTTCTGAAGCATTCCAAGTTGACCAATAAGCAAAAGAGAACAACTGGAAATACCTGACCAGCAGAATATGCTAAGGCCACATGTACCACGAAAGGCAGGATTGAGGCTCAAGTCAGACTTAAGAAATTCAAGGGCACGGGCAATGAGAAGAGTATGGAAGAGTACTTTGCAACCACAAGTTTTAGTGGTTAGTCATAAAGTTGATATAATAGAGAAGCCAGTAGGTACTCTCGTGTGTGCTGTGTGCTTGTGTTCATGTTCATGACTGTGTACAGGTGCTTTGGCACGTGTCTGTATTCATGTGGAGGCCGGTGATCAGTGTCAGGTGTTTTATTCTATCCTTCTCCATTTTATCTTTTGAGACAAAGCCTCCCACTGAACCTGGAACGTGATGATTCATTAAGGTTAGCTGATCAGGAAGCTCTATGTATCCTACTGGCTCTGCCTCTCCAATCTGCAAGGGTGCTCCATCATGCATGTCTGGATTTTCACCATGGGTGTAGAAGATGTAAACTCAGGCCCTCATACTTATGTGTCAAGCATTTTATTAATTTTATTAACTGAGACATTTCCCCAGCCCCTACAACAGTGTATTTTAAAAATAATAACAAAATACAGTGTATTACTGGAGCTCATCACAGAAAGTGGCACCATGGGGAGGTTAGACTAGTTACCCAGATACTGTTCTCAGCTCAGAGCTGGATTCTGAAAATCACACTTCTGCTGGCTCCACAGTACCAGTGTCTTGCCAAGTCTGATCTCTCAGAAACACTGCGGGGCTGGGAAGCAGCAGTGGAAGGATGGAATTTCTTCTATTCTGTTTGCTTCCAGTTTTTATCTTGCTAGTGACTTATCTTTACCCTATGGGAACAACAGGGCCAGCTTTCCTCTTGGGACACTGGCTAGCCAGCACATTCACTCTTCTGAAAGTTTATACCTGGCTCCTTGTGCATTGCAGTTTCTTTCTGAAATCCCTTATCCTGAGTGTTAGTCTTGCTGTCACTACCTTCAGGGTAGCACCAAGGAAAGGGCCAGTCCTTGAGATGTTTGCTACTGATTCACAATGGCAAAGGTGCTTACACTGGTATATAAGCTAATTAACATCACTAAGTACACTGCTTGGTTATCCCTTAACCACTGGGACATTTCTCCAGCCCCCGCAGACCATTTCAAAAAGGAGCAGTAAGCTGACTTGCATTCGGGTTGCAGGCTTCTCATTGCATGGTGGTGATCAGTAGCTAGGTGTTCAGTTGCTTTGATTTACATAGCCTCAGTGGTTCCCTGTCAGCAATCATTTTGTTGTTGTTGTTTTAAGTATTATGGTAACTCCTAATATGCATCTTGTGGTTTCTTTCATCAGGCTTTGATTCTGAAGTTAGATACAGTTATATATTCAAGTTTTTCTTTAGTTAGCATGATTACAAAATGGATCATGATACAAAAATGTACCAAATGGTCAAAATCTACAAACAAACCAGACTAACACGTAGATTCTAAGAAAAACAAGGATTTTAATTTTTTATATTTTAGTTTTTATTCATTTTACACACCAACCACTGCCCCCCTCCTTCTCCTCCCCACAACCCAGCTCCATCCACTCTTCAGAAAAGGTAAGGCCACCCATGGGGAGTCAACAAAGCCTGGCACATTCAGTTGAGGCAGAACCAAGAACCCCCTCCCCAATCAAGGCTGAACAAGGCACTAACCATAGGGAATTGGCTTTACAAAGTCATCTCATGCACTAGGGATAGATCCTGGTTCCACTGCCAGGGGTCCCCCACAAACAGACCAGGCTACAAAACTGTTGCCCACATGCGGAGGGCCTTGTTCAGTCCCATGCAGGCTCCCCAGCTGTTGGTCTAGTGTCCATGAGTTCTCACACATTTGGGTCAACTGTCTCTGTGGGTTTCCCTTTCATGATCTTTTAATATTCCGCTAAACAGAAATTTCCTCCTAAAAGTGACCAAATCCAAACTAACCAAACAAAAAAATAGCCTAGACTGGCTGTCAGCTCTCTATCCTCCTGCCTCAGCCTCCTCAGTGATTACAAATGTATACCAGGGCTGGAGAGATGCCTCAGCCATTAGGCTAGGCTCACAACAAATCTATACCCATGCTGAGCAATGGTTTGATTTATTTCAGGACCCCAGAAAGCTTGTCAATTTGTGTGAGTAGGCTGCAGGATTTCATAATACCTCAGGTAACTTAGAACCTCATTCTACAAAAGCATTTATTTGTCTCTGTCAATCACATGTGTGGGAGGAGCTACCTATGGACAGTATTGATACATCAAAAAATACTGACCTGGGCTTACTTCAAACTATTTAAACATTTCACATCCTAGCAATAACCTAACCTAATAGTTTACTTAGATGTCTGTAAGATAAATGCCACATACTCTTGTCTCATCTTTTAGGACAGTGTGAACACTCAGGGGCCTCAGAAGACAAGCTACAGCTGACTTGTTTTATCTCAGTAAGGGTGGAGAGAAACTGGACAGTGCAGATTGCCAAGCATTTTCCTACAAGCCAGGAAATAATCCACACTTTTGATACTACAATAGAAAAGAGTTCATTACTTGGTGATTATGAGAATTTTCCTATTACAGTATTTAAAAACAAATCTGGACACAGGTGAACTTGAGCCATATTGGTAAAATGCATTGACTCTATATTAAAGTGTTTACAATATTTTTAAATTTTCATTTTAATTTTGAGGCTGCATTCACATTTTTTCCCTCTTGGTTTGAGACAAGTAAATAACACTGTATTTTCCAAGTTCAAAAAACTATTTAAAATATTTAAGATTTTAAGTTATTTAATGTGGAATAAGGCTTGGTTTAGTCAAGTTAGTTAACTTGACAAAAGAAAGAAGTCATGTGGAAACTGTACAGCCTGAGAAAGTGAGAAAGCTAACAGTCTGACACAGTAGTGTGCACTTAACTTGAGGTTCATCATTAGTAGACTTCAGTGTGACCTCCAGAATATTACCTGAATTTGTACTTTCTTTACCATGAAACTGGGCTGACAATATGTTTGCAAAGTCATGCACAGGTTTTGTTTTTTGTTTTTTGTTTTTTGGTTTTTTGTTTTTTGTTTTTGTTTTTGTTTTTGTTTTGACAACATGGATTCAATACACACAACTCTGTTTGACGTGATGGAGGCTAAACCCAGCAGTTCATCCAAATGAATGTTTGTTCAGACAGCACTAGAGAAAGAACCTCAGTACAAGTTTATTCAAAAAGACCGTGTCTAGGTCTTTTACTCTTTTAAAAGTATCTGTTATATCCAAAAAGGAAACTAGTATAAAACTGGTGAAATTTAAGGAGAAAAAAATTTCCCAAGCAAACACTCTATTGACATGTTTCTTTATGGCCCTGCATAGTCCACTGGCCTTCCACTCTCGATCTGTTCAGTTTGGACAAAAGGTATTTTCATGCCATTCAGTCTGTGTAGGGGCAGAATGAACTAGAAGGAACTAGATGTATAAACTAGATGTCAAAGTGCTTCCTGTTCTGATGTCAGATGGCCACACTTACCATGCCAGGGACAATGGAAACTATCCAGTGAAAGGAGGGAACAGAACAAAAGAATGGTCCTGGCTCCCACCATCTTCCCCTCATACCACCAAAACCTCTTACAAGTAGAAGCCAGTGTGAACCCCCAAACCATGGTATTGTTAGCAACTTCACATTCCATGAAGGGTAAATCTGCCACATCAGCTCAGTACAACTCCTAATGCAAAAAAAGTAGTAAGCAGAGAGAGCCCAGTAAAGACTTCACATCCTCAATGCAGAAACAAACTGCTTTTCTAACCATTTCAGAGATACGTCTCAGTAAATGTTTTTATAAATCAAATTTAAATGTACAAGGGATTCTTAGGAAGTCTGTTACTTATTTAAAATATTGTTATATATAAAAAATTATACACAGGTCTATACATACTAAGAATTTTATAAAGTAATTTGACATTGCCTACCTGTTTTAAGAACCGGACTCCATAGATAAATACATAGAGGTAAAAGGAAAATCGCCACCTGTAGAAGATTAAAGAAATTAAGATATTCAGTTTATATATTTCATAGTATATCTGAAATATGTGAGGAAAAAGTTAATTAAGCTTTCTGTTCTTTTAAACCAAGGAATGAACTTGGTAAAAATCGCCAGTCAAACATAAACATTCTGTGTATGGCTTTAAGGAAATCAATATTAATCATTATTCACAAGTCTTCTTTTTCTAAGGTATCAAGTATGGCCATCTGCCTTTCTTCTTTCCCAACTTGTCAATTTTCTTACTGAACACACATGGAGGGGTGAGGCTCATCAAATAAATATATTTAATTTTTATCTACAAAAAGCATCTTGCCCTAGTACTCAAAACCCAATTTATGTCTTGTATTTCATGAAAACTTTGTAAAAAAAAAGTGTATGTGTGCAGGTGTAGGCATATGCCCACATGGGCACACATGTGTACATGTGTTTGTATCTGTGGTCATGTGTGTCACTGTGTGTGTGTGTGTGTGTGTGTGTGTATGGTTCCACTGATGAAACTCAGCCAACTAAGTTTGTGCAGCAAGCACCTTTACCCTGAACCGTCTCTCTGGCCTTCCATGTATTTTCTGAACGTGAATAACATGCTTTTAAAAACTGGCCAGGATTCATTCAACTGTATTCATAAGGTCACTAGGTTGGTGGAACCTTGGACTTACATATTGTAGATGAACATCAGAGAACAGACTAGTGGCCTTTATACCATCAGAAGACAGGGTTTACAAAGAATATAAAATTTTTAAGTGACAGGTTTTAGATGATTAAAATGATATATAAAATTATCTGAAGGAAATAAGAACTACATTCAGGAGAGAAAGTATTGGTGGAAGGAAACCTCTAATCACTGGCTTTGACTCACCAGCTCAGGCTTTCACAGACAGAGGCATTTCTGGGCTGGTCCACTCTTCAACATTTTAAAATCTAAGGCAGAACTAATTTAGAGAAGAACTTTGAACTTCAGAGTTCAGTCTTCAACAAATAACTCATAAAAACCTGAGTTTAAGAAGGGACAACAAAAACTGACAGAACTAGGAGTAATTCAATAAGCCTCCAAACAAAACTGAAAAGCTCCAATTCTAGCCCTCACATGAAAGGCCTCCTGTAAGTACTGATGGCTAACATACATAGTGTGAATAGCAAAAATGGACTTCACACACATTCACCACAAGCTTTCTTGGTGGCTACAGGTTAATGTTCCATCTTGTGTACAAATTCCAGATCATAACCTAAAACCAGGGCTGATATGGGCCATGTTCAGTTATACAGGGTTCCCCCCAATATAATGCTTTGCAGTCACCATACTGAATTCCAAATAAGCATTAAATATCCCCCATTTTATCTCTAATGGGCCATGAAGATTATTTAGCTCTGAGAATAACACAGAATCTTTTAATTTTAGGCATATCTGTTAATATCCTTTGATCTCAATTGTATCTCAGGGGGAGTAGATTTAGTCTATAATGGTAATTCAAGGATTTGGTCATCCTTAGAGTAACCTTTATTTCAGTCCCTTTCTCTCCCTATTACACTGAACCAGTGTACTTCAAGAATTTACTTTGCTTTTCTGGCCTCTGGAGACAACTGAATTTGCAACTGCTCTAGTAAATGATTTATAACAGCTGTTTCAATTCTGACTATTGTTAGTAGGCAATGATCAAACAGCTTTTATGTATAATAAAAATTTTATAGAAGTCATTGGAATTCTTACCATCATTTATATGTCTGCATTTTATTCTATCACTAACATGACCCAGTTTTCATAAGACACTGGTTCTATTACAGGAACACTGATGCCTACCTTATTTGAATAACAAGTTGCAATGAATATTTACAAGGCAGACTTTTTATTTCCACAAAATATCTGCAGGAAGCAAAATTTGCAAACATTTTGCAACATGAAAAAAATAGTTTACTTATGGAGTTTCATATAAGTTACAGTTTTAAATAATCGCTGTGAGCTTGTTTAGTGTCCTCCAGACTTTCACTAAAATTTCTTTAGGAAGAGATAAGGAAGGAAGACATGGCGTATAGTCTCCTGCTAGGAGCAGGGAAGGCTTCTTACAACAGTAAGAGAATAAAATTAGATTTTAAAAAAGGTTGTAGAAGGCTTAAGGTGACACCTCAGTAAAGTACTAGCCTAAAATCACGAGGACCTGTGTTTAACCCCCAGAATCCATGAAAAACTCAGGGTATGATGTTCTGTGTTTGTAATCTCAGTGCTGGGAAAGCAAAAACAACCAAATAAACCTCCCAACAAACCTGAAAATCAGAGATTCCTGTATCTTGATAATACAGTTTGATTGGTCAGCTCCAAGCCAAGGAGAAACACTACCTCAAAGAGACTTCATTCCTGAGGTTTTCTTCTGCCCCCACTCCTAAATACGAGCATGCATGTATTGTTAAAGTGGATGGTGATGCAGGAAAGCATAAATCAATTTTAAAAACTGCAGGAGTAAAACTGAGGTTATAGGTGAAGAAAACTAAAGAATGGTTATAAAGACACAGGAAAATGAAGCCTAGAATTACTACCCACATTGGGATGAGAACAGAGAGAAAGAACACGAAGTTGTGTTGGTGGGGAGGTGGGGAAGACCTGGGAGGAGCCGGGGGAGAGGAAAGAATATGATCAGAATAGATTGTATAAAAAAGTTAAATATAAAAATTTATTAAAAAGATATACACAGAAGAAATTCAATCACTGGAACAGATGGTGAACAATCCCAAGAGATCAACAGAGAAAAAAATGACTATAGATGTGGGGGTCAGAAAAAATAACCTAATTATAATGGTTTCTTAGAAATTAAAGTGAAAAACTGACACAGAAATAATCATCAACAACAGATTTGAAAAAAAAGAACTTAAAAAAATACCAAGAATCAAATTATATTCTAAACAAGAACAATTCAAAAGCCACATTCAGAAAAAAAAATATTTGAATCCTAATGTAAAAATGAAATGAAGACTCCTTCTGTATTCAGGCAAGAAAACATGTCAACACACAAATAAATCAAATCAAAGCAAGTCAAAATCAGGGGCACAAATGTCCACATGGTCTTTAATTTCTCCTTTATACCAGCAAATGCCAAAAATGGGAACCCTTGATTGAAGAAAGCCACAGCCAGCCCAGGTGCCTTTCATTGCTAAAGGAACTTTTTTTTTTTTTAAGTTATTTTAAGATGAGGTTTCAGGGTTTCTCTGTAGCTTTGGAGCCTGTCCTGGAACTCTCTATGTAGACCAGACTGGATTCGAACTTACAAAGATCTGCCTGCTTCTGCCTCCCAAGTGCTGGGATTAAAGGCCAAAGGAATTTGAAAAATACTCTCTTAATCAAAGGTTGTGAAACTGTGCTAGTCTGCAACCATCGTTAAATGGTAAGTGTGTTGTTCTGTGTGTAAAATAAATACACATGCAAAATAAAAATCTCATCTACAATAGTTATTGTATATTGACAAATACAAGATTTTTATAAATCTATAGCTAAATAAAATACTTTACTGAAATTTTTAAAAGTAACTCAGGGAGCTGGGTGTTGGTGGCACACGCCTTTAATACCAGCACTCGGGAGGCAGAGGCTGGCGGATCTCTGCAAGTTTGAGATCAACCTGGTCTACAGTCTACAAGAGCTAGTTCCAGGACAGTCTCCAAAGCCACAGAGAAACCCTGCCTCGAAAACAAAAAAAAAGTAACAGGTCAGTTTCTACCCAGCAAAGTATGGAATATAAATGAAGAAGTCAAAGAATATAATTTTAGAATAAAATAGGCTTCATGAACTTAGAAATATACATAATTTCCCTAAATTTCAGCATCCAATTAAAGCTTAAAGTTCTTAAGGGATAATATAAAATATTTAACAATAACCAAGGGATGAATTCTGAGATTGTATTAGTAAAAACAAGGAATGAAGAAGTGAAACATTAAATTTATCGCTACACACAAAACTGTTTTGATAAAAGAGATGTACAACTAATAATATTTTTATAAAATCTCTAAAGATGAGTTCTCATTAAAAAATGGTTAGGCCAAAATTATGCCTTTACTTATGTAGTGTTAAACTAGCAGAAGTCGGATTTCTTATTTATTGATTTAAATAAAGCAAGAACTCCCAGGGACAAGGAAGTAGGATTGGACAGACATCTCATTTTGTAGCCTGAGAAGAGAAGGGCACTAGTGTAGCTGGCAGAACCACAATCTAAATCCTACAGACACTTTGATACACCCCATTATTAACTCTCTATTGGGACCCTCTGTTGGAAACAGTCTTTGGCACCAGCCACACAGTTGGTAAGTGAAAAAATGAGGACACAAACATAGCACTGCCTCCAGAGGCTTCTCTCAAATTCTGCAGAATTAGCGCACATTCCAGTACACAGGGAAGGCATGAAGTGGTTTGACAAGGGCATGCAATCAGAAAGGAGGGAGTTAAGATGAGACACTAGCCTGTGATTGCCCCTATGGGGTGACCACACCAATTCCACCCTATTTAATGAATATAGTGATGCCCATTTTTCCTCCTCCTTTAAGCCACAAAAACCATGTCTTCTCCTTTATCCAAACCAACTTTTCATAATCTTTCTGGACTTCCTTCTGGTCTCCACCTACCATGACTCTTGTCCTCATATGATGTTGGCTTAACACTAATATATCCTTTAAGTGTCTGGTGACTAATTGGCTCTTTCAGCTCCAAGTGAGAATTTTATGTCATACATCTTCTGCCCAGGACTAGCACTTGGGCGGCTGTGTTCACACACAGGTATGAGACACAGTTTCCATCATTCTCACACAGTCTAGAATCAGTGGCATTGCAAATGTACCTGCTGACCTGAAAATGAAGACAGTAACAACTACTTCTATGGGTTGGAATGAGGAGAAAATGAGGCAATCATCAGAAGTAAATGGACACATGACACAATCTAAAGAATAACTTGTCATGCCCATTATTTTTGGCAGTTGTCATGTGGAATGCATCTAATAAATAATTTCTACTTCA